AAATTTTAAGTCAAACTCCCTGAAAATTTGACCATCAAACTGTAGGAGGTTGGATTGCAAGGTACCTCCTGTATTACCGTATTTACTCAAGTACCACGCACACCTTTTTTCTCAAATTTCAGAAGAAAAAAAGGCGTGCGCGTCATAAGCGGGTACAAATTTTTCAATAAGTTTTAGGAAGTAATGTGTGCATTATATTTAATTATAAAGGAGAAATTTCATACAAATGTAACAAGAAAACCTTTTTTGTACTGAAAAAGTTGAAAATTGATCCAATTTTTGTTCAATTCATGTCAAAAAGTCAAATTTTTTGAATTTATTGTTGAAATTTTGTGGTTTTAGATTCACTATAAAGTGGGGTACTTGGGTATAAGATTTTAGCCAAATTTCCAACTGAAAAAACCCCTTGCACGCCTTACTTGAGGGCGCATGGTACTCTGGTACAGTTTTAACCTATCAAGGTGACTCAAACCGGGTGAGTTCCTAAAAGTGTTGTGTATTTAAAGGGAATAAACTAAACTTGGATCGCGGTCACTGTATAAAAATTCAGTGCATGGGGATGGAAGAAAAAAAAAGGAAATCCTGGTTGACTTGAATAGAGCATTCGGAAGCAATCGTATTCGCAGAGATGAAATCTTTCTTGTCTCTCAGGAAGAAAAAAAAAACGTTTTTATGTCTCGCTTCCTGCTTCTGTTCACGACATTGTTCATAGAGCGAGGAGAAAACCGTTCCATCTTTTTTCTCTCCATTTTCAACTTATCACACAAAACACTATAAAACTTTTTTGAAAAGAGGAGGGAGGAAAAAAAAAAGAAGTGCGATGTCGGTTTCATGATTCTCTGAGCTGTGGAAATGAATCGAGATCCGCCAGAAAGTGAAATGCTCGCTCACGGTGTGTTCTCGGTGGCGTGATTAACTGTGATTTCGATCCGTGTCCGTGTTTCTNGTTACAGGGAACTACTTTTGCTTCTTCTTCTTCTTCCTTAGACTATGGGGATATCAAGTTTTTACACACTATCACAAGTACTGTGCTGAAGTGCTGTATATTTACCTCGTTAAAAAACGTTGTCTGATTTCCAACGAGCTTCTGCTGGTGAGATTTTTGAGCTAATAAATGTAGTACATTCTCCTTCAATTTTCCCCAAGGCTGTTTGACAACACTAAAGCCATGGATTTTTCCAATATGATTATATCTGCGGAAATTGAGCTACACAATGTTCACAAATACAATTATCAAACTACAGTAGATTCCTTTTAAAGTTGATTGTCTCAAATTGTTAACCATGAAAAACCACTTTCTTTTTAACTTTTGCTGGATAAAGTGGGCGTGGTTTTTGATTATGCTTTATATACATCAATGCATTTAAAGTGAGACCTCAAAATGCAGACACCCCAGCATACAGACAATTTGACTCATGGGGACACTTGAAAGCAAACAAAAAAGTATGCCCAATGTCTGACCATTGGCTCAGGTTAGGATCACTTAATTCACTTTTCTGAAAATCACCCAGAAATTGAAATATTTCATTTTTTAAATTTAGATATCTTTTGAAGAAAGGAAGCTATTTATATTCACAACAATCTAAAAAATATTTCATGATAAATTCACTCTAATTCATAATCAAAAGCAAGCTGATTTTGCGCTTATTTTTTTCAGAGTTGTTCTTATGATCTGTGGATATTCTAGCAAGACTTGTTTGTTTTCTTTGCTTTTTGATCTCCTTTTGAGGCAAAAAAATCAGATTCTATGTGGTTTGTTCTGCACTGTTGTTTTCCGCAACTTGAAGTAGAATTAAACAATTTTTATTAAATTTAATGAGGACTTATTTCTAATTTTTGACAAAAAGGAGAACCAATAAAATACATAAAAATTGAAGTTTAATGGAAAATGATACTCAACTTAGGGACATTCCAACATCAGGACACCCTTGATGCATCAATTACATCTGCATCTTGGGGTCTCACTGTAATTGTATTTAAATAAAGTTCATTGTAGACTGGCTGTATTTGTTTTACTTTTTACCCTGTCCAATAGCTGCATATAAATCCAAATTGATTTCTACAAGAAAGAGAGAGTTTTTACAAAGAAATTCTTTCTACAATGAATTATACTTTGGTCTTCTGAATTATGTTGTAGAGAGATTCCACTGCTATTCCTCACCATGGCAATTTGGATTAAATATGACGCCATTGGGCAGGGCCCAAAGAAAAAAACAAATATCTTGTAAGCATGAATTGGTTGAAACAAAATTTGGTACTTTCCTGTTATCTCAGTACCTAATTTCCTGTTATCTCTGTACCTTCCCTCTGACCAATTTAACCTAACCTAACTATTTTGGGAGGCGGTTAGGTGAAGTTAGGTTAGGTCAGGTTAAGTTAATGAAAATATATTTGTGACTAACATAACCTGACCTAACCTAACTTTACCTAACTGCCTCCCAAAATCAGTTTCAGCAGAAAGTGGAAAAATGAAATTCACAGTTTCTGGTTGGTGCATAGAAAGTAGGTTCTGAGATAACAAGGAAGTGCCCAAAAGGTACCATTATAATCAAATATGATTCTTGCATCCAAAAATTTTTTTTGAAAAATGAATGAAGTTCAACCAATTTTTGTCCTCAAATTTTGAAAAAAGGTGCGCGAGGTACTTGAGTAAATACAGTAGGTGCCACATGTGATCTCACCAGTGCCGCTAGTGCCACCAGTAATAGTGAAGTGTGTAGTGAACAATTTATCAAACTCACCATTTCAGAAAAGTGTATAAAACCACCTGGACTTGAACTAATTGAAAAAGTTTCACATTTTCTAGAAAATAGTAATCATGAGTCAGTTAACCAGTGATCTTAAAAAATCTTTCTACAACCGGGCAACATTTTGTTCTTTGTCTGGCAAGAAAGTGTTGCCAAATGATGGGGCTATGCGAGAAAATTATTATTTTTAAATTTTTAAACTCTTTGGGAGTCTCAAAACTTATGAAACAGCCCTCGTTTTTAAAACAAGATCAGCGAATCATTGGGAAAATGTGAAGGAAAGGAAGATTCATTACAAGAGAAGTGCATTCAACATTTTTCTGCTTACTGTCATCAAAGGAAGTTTGAAATGACTTATTATACTGTTCAAAATTATTTGACGCAGAAGCAGCATTTATTACCCATTTCCCACATCATCTCGGTCCCAATTTCACAGAAAACGTCGGGTTTCAATTCAATGAATTTTTGTCCCAGCAAATCTTACAACTTTTGGTTTGGGAGTTTGTCGGGATGAGATTTTGCTGCGCATTAAATTTCAAGTTTCGCTCACTCATTTATAAAATCCGCGTCATAATTTCTTCTGATGTTTTATCCACGTATTAAATCATAGATTCGAAGAGAAGTGCATAAATTTTCAAGGGGAATAAAAAAAAAAGTTCGAGGTTCATCCTTCCTACCCATCTTTTGTAATTCCCTTCTCTGCCAATTTGCAGTTTCGCACGATCGCTGTATGTTCGCACGGATATCAAGGCCGCACCCAATTTTTGTCGCCTTTCCCTCCGTGTTTACAGGATATTTAAATGTAAGAAAAATATAACAAGTGAAATTTTAAAAAATGTAACAGCTGAAATAAAATGTTTATGACGCGACCCTCATTCTCGAAATATTTTTTTTCTAAGTTTGCACATTCACTGTATTTAAGCGACATTGGCCACATTCTGATTTCAGTACTGTACTTCGAATTGTTTTCGATTTTTAAATCTTGTAAAAGTGAATGCAATTTTCAAGACTCGACCCCGTTTTCCCATTTTAATTGCATCTCGCATCAATTTGAAGCTTGACTTTCGTCATATTTTTTCGAATACAGTATTTTATATGAACTGGGCACATCGTGATTCTCGACGACCAAAATGAAATTCTGATAAAATTAAATTTTGCATATTATTGTGTGCCATGAATAAAATATGAATTTTATAAGTCAAATTATTTTTTCATCAAAAATTTCGAATTTCTCCCATATTCGGAGTCGAGTTTCAAAATTTTTACAAATTTGAAATCACCAACGATTGGATTTTCATGAAATATGTGCGCAGATGAGTAATTTTCACACACACAAAAATCATAGCGTGGTCGTGTGTCAAGGTCCGTCTCGCTTATTTGCATTTACTGTACTCCTAAGGGAAAAAGATACGATTTTCGCACAGTCATTCCTATATGTGATAAGGAAAGCGCGATTCTAGGCAAATGGGCTCGATCTCAAAGAAATCCTTCGAGAAATTTGCACGAGTGTTTCTCTTAAGTTTTCATGACTGTACACGTATTTATTATTTTACTTGACGTGTGGTTGAGGACCTACTCGAATGGTGTTATTTTATTATTGTACGAACAGTGGGGCCCCTATTAGATGCAAACATATTTTAATGCTTGGGCCTTGTCCGTATGTCGGAGCGTCCGCATGTCGGATCACGTTTTCGGTTATACCTGAATGCGAAAACTAATTTGAGTGATTTTTCGAGTTAATCAAAAATTAGGAATAAGCCCCTCAGAAAATTGGATAAAACTCGTTTCTCAACTTCGATATACCAAAAATCGCCGCTGAGAAGAAAATCACGCACAATCTAATCTTTTGGCATCAAAATTAGCACAAGAAGCCTACAAGAAGAATACGTCTTGCTATATTCTGCACATGTGATAGAAAAATATTCAAAAATAGAAGCACACAATTAGCTTGCAATTAATTATTGATTTGAAGAAGTTTCTAATATTTTTTTTTATTTTTTTTTGAAAATAAGCAGCTCAATATATTGGTTAAAGAGATTTCCAAATAATTCAGAAAATTAAAATTTTTCCATTTTCTTGGAAATGTTGGAAACCATGTCCGTATGTCGAGACATTCTCAAGATGTTGGGGAATGTTTGTGTGTCCCTAAGTTGAATCATCTGCATGTCGACGTCCCATTATTGCCCAACAATTGATTTTAAACTTATCTTTACTCACGAGGATTTTTCGTATGGATTGATTGACTAGGTGACGATGTGGTTGGAGGGGCGACACCCCGTGACGATCGCAGCATTTAGCGTTCTTCTCTACGCCTTCCTCTCCCTCCCGATGGCGTTCGGCTACATTGTGGTCAACATGGCCGCGGGCTACATTTTCGGCGTGTTTGGCGGCATGCTGGTCACGGTGACCACAGTGGCTACCGGAGTGGCGCTCGCTCACGTCGCCATGCGCCATTATTGTCGGCCGGGCATCGTGGCGCTCATTGCCAAAGTGCTGCCGGCGGAGTATCACAGAGCGCTTTTCAAGTTGCTGGCTGGACCCGAAGCGCTCAAGATCGTCTTCTTGACTCGCCTCACGCCGATCCCGTTTGGGCTGCAGAATGCCATTTTTGCTGTGCGTATCTTTGATTGATTTCCATTCGGATTTTTTGGCGGATGAAGGGCAAAATGTTTTTGAGGGTTTCAAACACTGACAAGCGGCTATATTGAAACTTGCATATCAATCAATTAAATTTATTTCTGTCCATTTCTTTATTGGGTGCATCATTGTCTCAATTAGCGCCAGTGTCAGTGTCAATATTCTTTGGAAATTGTGCGCATTGGATTGGTCAGGGACATTGAAATTGATCAATGAAATTCCCCAGAAAACAAGGAGAACTGTTGAAGGTTTTGACGGCCTTAAATTTTTTTTAAATTAAAATTCTGGTGCTGCATCTTAGTCAATGAAGCTGAATTTGTCAGACAGGAGGAAGGAAAATACATGAAAAAAGTGTATGGAATTTTAATCATGAGAAAGTTTTTGTTCAGCTGATTGACTAACATTTTCGCTGTGGAAATAGAATTTGAATTTTTCTTCATAAAAAGGATAGAACCTTTCTCAACTGATTGCATTCTAATTTAGTTGCTGGGTTGTAACAATACAGTATCTCAAAGATCATTTCTGAAATCAAGTAATGATGGATGGTTAAGTAGAATTAATCTTCAGTTTACAGTATTTTTTTACATTGCCAAGGAGGGGATCTTTTCCCCACAGAAAACCATATATTTGTTTTTTATACAAGGAATAAGTGAAAGAAGTTAATTGTACTAATTATTCCAGACGCATGCCATTGGAAATTATTTTGGATGTAATACTGTATATATAATAATAAGTCATAATATGCTAATAATTATAAAACTGAATGTGTCTCTTTGAATAGTAGAGACAACCTATTATTTCTTTTTCAAGAGTCGCAGTCCCTAAAGAAAAATTGAATTTTTAAAATCAAATGTTGATTTATTTTTATTGCTTTCTTCGCAGGTTACCAATGTTACCACAAAAAGTTACCTTTATGCCACAGTCGCTGGGCTGTTCCCAACTCAATGCCTCAATGTCTACCTTGGCAGTACCCTGAGGAGTCTGGGAGACATTTTGTCTGAAGGCGGACTGTCTCTTGTTGGCTATGTTGTGCTCATTGCCCAGGTGAGTTTCAGGTTTCAGAAATGTTTTTTTTCTTCTCACTTCACTTACTTTCAAATCTGATTTGGATTATAATTTTGTCCACAGAGATTTTTTCAGATTTGAAGAATATTTATGAGGTGTTAGAAGTGAGGATACTTTGATGAGTTTGCCATTTTTTTTAGGAAAAGTCAATACAAATATTGCTAACATTTACAAAATGAAGCTATATTTTCCAAAAAATACATTTAAAATTATTTGTGTACTATTGTGCATTTCTGTGCAGGATCTTTTTAATGTGGTTTTGGGGACAGTAAATTAAATTTATTTAAAATATTTTAAAGTAATTGTATTGAAATTTGTAAAGAATTTAACACTGTAGGCTTGTAGAGTGTCCCCAAATAAGAAAATTAGTATTTCTGTTTTTTTTTTTTTT